TGTCTATGGTCCACCGCCTACTAGCGATGGCCTCCAACCTTAGGTCTTGGCCCCCAACAGCCTTGCGTTGACCTCCAACCCAAAACCGATGGCCTTTAACCTACTATTTCCTGACACCTCAGGCCTTTTAACTAACCTAGGCTGGCGTGTGGCGCCGCTGTCAAGTCAGTACGCATATCCATAAGTGTGTCTGGCCTCGTGCCAGTCCGGGATGAGTGCCTCCCGTGGACCCGTCGAACGGGCGTTTGTCCATGTTCCCCGGCTTTGGGAACGTAGGTGTCCGGAGCGGACAGCAGATGGCTTACGCCACAAGAATTTGGATGTTTGTCTCATCTTTGGAATTCCAAGCTGGCTTATGCCTTTACGTGACCGCAGCGGTCAAAGCAGCCAGCCACATTGGCACGGCGTACGTGGCCGCAGCGGCCGAAGTTTGTTCAAGGTTCATTGGAACCTGTCGCGAGCTTAGTCCCCCCCCTTCCCCTTCCCTCCCCCTTTCTTTCTTTGCTTCTTGGGGTTTTCCTGAATGGAATATTCAGGATCACCCCTTTCTTTCTTTGGTGTGTCCCTGGACGATTGTTCGTAGCTGGGAACACCTTCCTTTCTCTCCTCTCCCTTTCTCTCCCTCTCTCTTTCTTTCCTTCTCTCTTTCCTCTCTTCACCCTCTTCCTTGGGTGTCCCTGGACGCTTTCGTCCTTCCTTTTTGGTGTGTCCCTGGACGCTTGTGTCGTAGCTGGGAGCACCTCTGTTTCCTTCTTTCTTTCCCTCTCTTTTCTTCCTCCCCCTCCCCCCTCTTTCCTCGCGCGCGGCGTGTTTACAAGCAAACTAGGCTTCTGCAACAGGTTTTTCTAATGAGGTTTGGCTGTCATCGGTTTGTCCCCGTTTCGGCCCCCACAGACGTTTTTTCCTTCTTTTCTTTCATGTCTTTCTGTCTTCATGTCTCTTCATCCTCATCCTTTCTTTCTCTTGCGCGTACTATCGTCCGGACCTTAGTTTACACACATACACGCACGCGTACTCTACTTACAACGAGGTTCAGGTGGCCCAGGTTCGTTACAATGAGGTTTGGTTCATCGGTTGTCCCTCTTCACTTGGTTCTTCTTCATCGCGGCAACGACACACACACCTGTGTCTGTCTCGTCCTTTTCATTTTCATCTGTCCCTTTTGCGCGCACATGTGCCTTGCCTCCTTTCCGGGCAGGATGGAGGCCACACATGCCTCCCTTCAGGGAGGCGTGTGTGTGTAACCCTTTGGAATCAAAGGGAACCTTTAGGTTTGGAACAGGGGGCGCGACGGTCGATTTCCTAGTCACGCCAATGAAGCTATGGAAATCGACTGGATGGAAGTTTGGACGCAAACTTCCGTACCTGTTCCGCTATTTAGGAAAACAGGAGGAAACGGTACTCGACACACTTGTGTGTCGGTGCCTTTCCTTCTGTTTTCCTCTAGGCTACTCTACAGGTTTGCAGGTAGGCCTCCAAGCTTTGTAAGGGATTCTTTGACCTGAACTTTGGCCTCCACCCACTAGATTGGCCCCCAACTTGCTGTCTTGTGCTTCTTGTGCTTTGTGCTTCTTGTAGCCTTGTAGCACTGGCCTCCAACTTGGTACCCTGGCCTCCACCCACTAGCAAGGACCTCCAACTTTGACTGTCATGTGTTTTTTCTTGTGCTTGTGTAACCTGGTAGCGCTGGCCTCCAACTTGGTACCCTGGCCTCCAACCTACTAGCGATGACCTCCAACTTTGCTTTTGCTGTCACTTTGTGCTTTTTTAACCTGGTAGCGCTGGCCTCCAACTTGGTACCCTGGCCTCCAACCTACTAGCGATGACCTCCAACTTTGCTTTTGCTGTCACTTTGTGTCTATGGTCCACCGCCTACTAGCGATGGCCTCCAACCTTAGGTCTTGGCCCCCAACAGCCTTGCGTTGACCTCCAACCCAAAACCGATGGCCTTTAACCTACTATTTCCTGACACCTCAGGCCTTTTAACTAACCTAGGCTGGCGTGTGGCAGCGCTGTCAAGTCAGTACGCATATCCATAAGTGTGTGTGTGTGTATGTGTGTGTGTGTGTGCGTCAGTGCGAATCAGATTAAATATATGCTGAAAATAAACAACACATGTACTGTTCATGTTCCTTGAGCATGCCAAAATCCGCCACTGTGAGACGACTTGAGACGTGGCACGAGAAAAGTCAAGTACCCAGTACCGAGCTTCCGCCTCTGGCTCCCGCGATTCACATGAAACCTGCCACAGTTTTGGTCCAAAGCGACAGGTTATTTTTGGATGCTTTTGCATACTTGGGACATCTCGCGATCTGGATCTTCACATATTTTTCACATTCTTTCGCGTTCTCCCAGTTCATGAGCTGTTTTCTGTTTGTACGCAATATGCTGCCCACCTCAACCTTGGGCTTCTTGCAAGCAAAGGCCTGGCACGTCATGCTTCACACGAATGAGATCGAATGAGTCTCTTTGGAGATGTCTCTTTGGCCTCTTTGGGGGCTGCAGCTCGCGCAGGTGGTTCAGCTTGTACCTGGCAATGTGACAAGCCGAAGATGGTGAAAGGCGCCTCAAACGGAATGAAAGAACGTCCGTCCTCCGTGGAAGATGGTGCCTCAAAGACGGAAAAGTCTGGGTCTAGGGAGATGGTGTGCCCTTTCTCTCACTGCAGTTTCATGTGTCTGACCCAGCTTCCCCCACCTCAAGGGCAAAGACTTTGATCTGAAAATTCTGTGATGCTGAAGTTGCCCCCTGCCAATACCAATTCCTGGTGCAAAGTCTTGCGAACATTGTTCCAGTTCAAATCTGTCTAACATTCTCAGTTGCCCAACATGCTCGAAAAATAGAGACAAAGGCAGCACCCATCCTTCTTGGTGGCTGGTTCGCATTCGCCGTCTTCGCATTTGACGCGTATGCCCAGACCTTCTTTGAGAGTCGTGAAAGTTGATGAGAAGGCAGGAGGGCTACTGGTGACTTTGTTTGAAACCTACTTTCAGCTTCGGGTGGGGCAAGGGAAAGGAGACCAGGCGGGAACGAAAACAAGACGTTGAGACTTTGAAAGTGAACATGCTGGAAGAGTTGTGAGGTGTTCTCACTCCAAATAAGAATACTACCTAATAGCGATGGCCTGCAACCTAATAGCGATGTCCTCCAACCTAATAGCGATGGCCTCCCACCTAGAAGGGATGGCCTCCAACGTAATAGCGATGGCCTCCAAAAAAAAGGCGATGGCCTCCAGAAACTTTGAAGAGTTGTGAGGTGTTCCCACTCCAGGGAAGAATACTTGAAGCTGGGTCCAAACGTGACCCGAGGAGGAACAGGAGGCGCATAGGAGAGGGACGGTGTAAAGGGAAAGGGTTGGGCTGTCACAGGGATCATCACACGAAGGTCCAAGATACCACGAGTCCCGTGCAACAAGGGCATGTGTTGCGCTGAAGTTCCTACGTGGCAAATTAGGGCTGCCCAAAATGATCACAATTGACATCGCACACTGGGAAGCGAGCAAAAGACGCAAGAACAACCTCTGGTCGTCGGCATATATATGCTTAAGGCGGCGACCAAAGCCCCACCGACTTCTGGACCAATGTACCAGCGCTTCTCCTCGCTCCAGTAATAGATCAGGACCGGATTTTGGTCCATCGCTGGCATAGTCCGTCTGTAGACCGGGCATCCGTGATGATGGCCTATTACTGTGTAGAGGCCAGGTAAGCAACCGCCTGCCATGTGATAACCGACGACTCGGATCAGCAGCTTGAAGACATGGGACTCAGACTCGGATGGCAAATGCTTGACTTGGTCAGGCTCAATGCCACAGAGCTTTTCTGCCAACTTGAAGGCAGGTCGTGCAAGTTGGTCATGCTCAGGCACGACGATTTCGCGTCCAGACCACTGGAGGTCATAGTTGAGGAGTATCGCGGGCAGCCACAAGTTCCCCAACACCTTCTGCAACCTGTTCTTCAGCTTCTCATCATGAAGTTCCCTCTCCAGCTTCGCAATTTCCCACCGCCTCGTCTTGCGGGTTATGACATGATCCACGAGCTTCTGCACATCCTTGAGATCCCGCTGAAAGCAGGAATTGGTGCCATCAGAGGTCTTCGGGCCTGAGAAGCAAATTATGCTCACCTAAACAGCCAGCAAGCTGGCTAACCGGCCTTCTAGCTGATGCTAGATCGGCCTATATCTTCAGCTATACAATACCCACCAAGGCAGACCAACCTACTTCAGCTTGGAAGTGAAACTCGTGTGGTCCCAGGATTTCAAGACGTGGGAGCCGAGCGTACCATGTCCGAGCCAACGATGCCGCAACGCTCAAATGGGATAAGCCTGCTCATGTTACTCCGAGGCCCGGCTTTCAAACCTGAATACTGTTTCAGTTTCAACCAAGTATTCATGGCCCTGTTTCGTCCACGCCTGGTACAGGAAGAAGAATGCTCAAAAGGGTGGCCAAGGCTGAATCGTTGCATCGAGGCGACTGGGCTACTTCGTGCAGCTTCTCCATGTAAGACATGGAGCGAATAAAGCCCGGCAAACGGCCTGAGAGGGCATCTGGCGGATTGTCTCCATGGTCTCGAAAGGCGATCGATGAATGATATAGCGCAAATATGTGGAAATGAAAAGTGATACCCAACATGAAATGTTAAATCATGGTTAATTAAATATGTGTTAAATCGTCTTTAAACTTTGAAACCTGGGTATCTCATACTTTGGCTTTTCCATGGGGCAACGAATTACGTTATGTACCTGACGGACTGTCAGAAGTGGTTGACGGATTCATCCCTGTGCACCGCACCTAGTGCTCCAAGCTTGTACAAAATCTGAACAGCATTTCTCAGCTCCAAAAGGCTATCTGCCAAATTGGCCGTCGTTCGTACCTTGCACCAAAGAGCGTCGTGCCCCAATTTTCCAAGCAACATACTGAAAATAGGTCAAAATCGACTGAAGTCCACACTGGACTACCCAAAACTTCAGACTCTTGGCAGATCAAGGTACAAACTCCAAAATCATGATTGCTGCCACTGCCTCCACAACTTCCAATATCATAGAGTTCTTGACCAGAAGGTTCAGGACCTACAGTCCAAGTGCTTCGACTTTATGAAAGTTGCAGTTGACGATCCTGCCTAGGCCACCTCTCCCTTTCAAACGCTCTGCTTTTCCAATAATGCATATTTACTGCAAACCAGTTCCCATTGCAAACCCACGGCGAAATTGCGTGTTTGGTTGCGGTCGTATTACCACTTAGCTACGGTGGAATCGCGCTCCTCTTCAGCAGCGGCTCTGCATCCAAGAACAACCCAGCTTTTCAGACATCCACCGCATTGCGTATTGTTACTGGTAACTTCTTGCTACTAGCGATGCCAATTGTTCTCCGCAAGGGAGGTCAGTTCGCCCCACACCGCGGAGGTCGCCAATGGCCGTGTGGCCACATGGGTCGGATGCGGCGTCTGCACGATGAAATGAAAAACCAATGCTAATTCGTCGCCGTGGCAGCCCTGGCAAAGTCTTTATATATTGCAGGTGATAATTCTTATTTGTATACAGTAATGCCTTCTGTACTTGACCTGCTCATTCATGACAGGAAAGCGTTTACATATTGGATAATACTGTTTTCTGATCTTTTTTATTGCACGGGCGTTTATACACAAGCTAAGGGCGTTTATTGGTGAGCCAAAGGCGTTGTTTCCCGAATATGTGTTTTAAGCAGATGTTCTGGTTGCGGATGTTTATGTATATAATAAAGGTATGTTGAACCACCGACCAAAAAAAAAGCAACCACGAGGTTGCAGCTATTGGAAACCCCCCTGTCGACAAAGTGATGGCTTGCTGACAACTCAGGTGTGGACCATCATGCAATCTGCTAGTGTGTTACCATAGATTGCGGAGACAAAAACAGTTTCGATGGTCGCGCGGTCGAGCTGGGTCATGATCTCCAGCTCGTCTGCTGCCTGGTGTATGGGCCATACAAAATCTTACAAATCAACAGCTGCAAAGGCATCTTACAACAAAAAGTCCTATCAACAAGTTTCAGAAGCAAAGTGCTCAATTGAGCTGACCTGCACCAACACGATCGCATGTTCGGGCTTGACATCGGTCTTTGTCGTCGCAATGTATTTCATCGCTGCAGTCAGAGCTCGTTCTTTCGCACGGACTTTGGGCAATTGTTGGAGGCAAATGGTCAGCTGCTCCAGGTTCAACTTTGCCATGGACTTCTCGCTGAATGAAGCTGTCTCAAATATTTCTGCCGCATCCAAACGGACTGCGGCCCCTGACAGGAAGACCGTGACAGAGGGTGGTGCCTCATCGTTGGAAAATCGTTCCTCGTGCAAATCAGCGAAGGACACACTGACATCTCTTCAGAAAGACATGCTAAGCTCACATCCCAGGACCGGAAAAGATGGCCGTGCTTTATGTCTCTAAAGACGCCTGGTACCCATGGTGTACCCCATCGGTTACACCGGAAGGAGGCTCCATGGAACCTGCCGCTGAGGCTCCAAGGAGCCGAAGGCGCGCATCTTCTGCAAGAAGGGATCCATGGCTTCAGGCACTCCAAGCTCGACGCATTTGGTCACTTCATGCCAAACGGACGTCATCGATTCAAAGCCTCGCAGAGGAGTGACAGGCGAGTCATAGGGGCACAGGGTGAAGTTGTGGTGGAGTCCGGAGTTGAGTGGTTGACGTGTGAGTCCAAAATTGCATTTGGGGGGCCTATCCTCTCAATTCCGATTGACCTTAAAATGACTGAAAAGCTAACAGAGCTGTCCTTGTCAGGAAAATGATATTTCTTCTTCCCACCTTTTCGTGCGGCAACCTGGTCCGCTGCCATGGACAGTGTGTCGATCATGGCGGCCTTTGAGAAGCCCGCACTTTTGAAGCAAGCTGCAAGCTGGCTCAGTGTACTGCGACAAACTGAGTGGAGGTCCAAGCGAGCTTTTGCATTCCGAATCCGGAACGTGAAACCCCAACTAAAGACACCCCTGCAAGTTTTGAGGAACACCACAGCAACTACTGTATGGATACAAGATCTCAAACCCCTTATGATCCTTGTGATTGTAAGGGTGGTAGACCGTGAAGTAGCGAGCTAAGGAATCTACTAAGCAAAAAGAAACCTGCTACAGTAAATGCAAGGACACAGAAGAGCCCTTCGCATGTGCGACATGCATCCTACAGTAGATGATTAGGAAAACTTAGCTTCAGCTATCGCCAAACAGATTGTATTCATTGAATGTCCTACTAGGCAAATGTTCTTGGAACCGTTTCAAAACAAACGGTCAAGGTCACGTCCTTAGCTTTGCCGCTTTGGCTGTTGCTTCCAGACCTTCCAAAAGACTGTCTTGAATGCTGCGCGCTATCCTTGCAACGAGCTTCAAGCGTGCAGAAGCTCAAATGGAAGTCTCCAAATGTCTAGAGCAAAGCGTGAAAAAGGTTACTGTAAAATTCGGAAATGTGTTCAAAGATAAAAGCTCCTCCATGCGGTCCAAGTATCGGGAACTTTCCTGCAATCTCGCAAACCTGGCAGAGTTTTCTCGGTCAAGAAAAACCAGTTTGTCAGAGACTTGATGGAGACCAAGCCCTGCCTTTCGTTGGGCCGATATACTCTGCAGTCGCATCAGATATGGAATCACATAGCATTCTTCCCGCCCAATCAGGTCATTAAATGGTGGCCTCTCGATGAACTTTAGGAGCATGCGTCGCTTGTCCTCAGGGTGCGACTCACAGATGTTTCACGGCATGGTTTGACTCGGGATGGTTGGACTCCACCAAATTCGTGCGACAAGTGTCAGAAGAAATATCGAAAAAAAGAAGCTGAGAAGTAACCAGTATAGTAGTCCCGTTATCCATAGGTTTTGCCGAACCCGATCCGAAAGTTGAGACGAATTTGTTGATTCAGGTCCTTGAGGTTCTTGTCCTCTTCCATGACACCTGTGGTCGCAGAATGGAGAAGAAGCAATAGAGACTCCGTCTTCCAATCCTTGGCCATTTGGGCAGAAAAGGGCCCCTGGAAAACTAGTTTCGAAGAGCCAGCCAGCTGAAAGCTCTACTTACATATACATCAAGGCGGAATCGTTACCCCCCCACGGTTTTGTTCTTGTCGGGTGCTTTGCTGCAGCGAAACAAGAATTCTCAAGTAGAAGTCTGAAGTCCAAAAATGTGTTAGTTGTCTTCTTTCGTGCAACCCTGTCAAACAGGGTCCCCGGTCCCCAGTTTGTAGGTCTTGAGCACATTTAGTAACTTAGTATAATAGTATAGTATGTTTATATATATAATTAATGTATGTTGTAGATTACCTGGAGCGAATGCATTTCCAGGTTGACACATGCTTGCAAAAAACATTGGCAGCAACCACAACCACAACAGCAGCAGCAACAACAACGACAACAACAGCACAAAGTTCTTAAGATTGGCCGGAAGTTCTCTGATGTCCGCAAACTTGCCGACTCGCAAATACAACACGTACGACGAACTCAGTGGCGCAGCAAGATTAAAAAGTGCAACTATACCGAGAGCAACTATACCGACGTATTTCTGTTGGGATCACCCCACCCCACCCATCCCCCCATGGTATGACCGTCACGCAGTGTCCATGTCACAAGTGCAGAAACCTGCACGTGTTTTCTGGATTCTGGGCGGTAAAAACTCCGTTAGCATATACATTTATAGACATACAAATATGTATGTATATATATATAGTGTGTATATTTTATGTGTATATATATATATATATCCATCTTGCCAGATGTGGTTCGCAAGCATCGGGACCTTTCTTATCTTCGTACACAAGAAAAAGGTCGCAGTGACCAGCTGAGACTCCAAGGCCTCCACTTGATCCAAATCACAAATGGCCTGCATCAAAGGAATCTCCTCGTCCCTGTCCACTAGTCGCTGTAGTTCTTGCAGCGAACCAGAGGCTGCACTCGAAATGATATCCAAAATCCTTAGCGACTACAGGATCGCTTACAGGCCGAAAAAAGAAGAAAAAGAAGAACTTGGCTTATCTGAAGGACCGTCCTGTCGAAACGATGCTTACAGAAAAACTGTTGCTTACAGCACCCTTTCCTTTCAGATTTTCTTGAAGCAGTGGGTTAGGCAGTGGGTGCCCTTTTTTGAAGTCTTTGAAGTCTGACTGTGAGTGCTTCCCAACGGCCGAGGGATTTGGGTCTTCTTTCCGAAGTGGTTCTTCTTGTCCCCGGCAAAGAATAGCATCTGCTTACAATCTTTGACACTCACACGCTCTGCACGCGCGATAGCACGCAAGGCTGAGTCCACCGACTCCTGACGAGCTGACGAGATCTGACGGGCAGGCGTGACCCCTTCTTGGACCGTCCCACTTTCCCCCTTTTTTGGTCCGTGGCCTGCCCCCCTACCTAATAAAGTAAGGGCTAGGCCCGCCTGAAGGGGGAGCTTCCTAGAAGAAGAGCTCGCAATATTCATTGGGTTCCTAGATTCATTTCACCTTTGTAAACTCTTTCCCTGAATCGGATGGGTTTGTCTCTGGTTATCTCTCCTGCCAGTGTGGGACGGACATGGGCTTTCTCTCCGCCTTCGGAGTGATCCGCTTGGCGCTGGGAGAGCGCCTGGGGCTACGGCTCTGGCTCGGGCTGCGGCTCCTGCTCCTCTCTTTAGCAGGAGCTGGGGGAGCTGGCGCTGGTACTAACTCAGGTTCAGGTGCCTGCTTGGATTCCTTTGATGGTGGAGCTGCTTTGGGAGGGATCACTTTTGGCACCGCGGCGGGTTGTGCTGGCACCACCTGCGGTATTGGAAGACCAGCGGCGGTGTTCCAATAATCAACTCGCCGACACATGCCAGCCCTTTCGTGTACGTGGAACGCCTCCCCTGCCACGTGTTGTAGAATGAATGAACATACAAATGTGTCTGTTGACCATGATTGGTCGCAGTGCACAGGAGTCTCAGCGGCTGCCAGTTGATGGCATGCCAATTCCAAGAATTTAGCCACGTAAGGTCTGATATCCTTCAGGATACAGTTCCACTCTACCTAAGCTGATGGCGCATGTCCAACTGCCTTTCAATGCCTTTCAGTTGAATACACACTGGATCAACAAAATGTGTTTCTTACAACTCATCCTATTCAGCCTTCCCGAGAAGAACTAAAAAGAAACGTCTTGCCGCAATGTTCGGAACCAAACTCTGTTGGCAGAGTCAAGCTCAAATTGTTAAGAATTTCTCCATAGCCCTCAGCCCCAACACGTAGCTTCATGTTGCTGGCATAACTCACCAAGATGCCCATGGTCCAGTCGGAATCTTCTGCGCAATGAAATGCACCATTTGTCTCCGGTATCTTAGATTGATGTTGTTTGGCTAAATGAAATGAAGCCATCCACCAAATCTACCTATTCTGGGTGGAGGGGCAATTGAAGAGTCAAACTATGACTTGTTTGTTAAAAAGCACCGAAATCAAGTCCAGGAATCCCCGGTCCATTGTCGACAATGATTTGGGGGACTCTCCACAGAACCAGCAACAGGCTGTTCCTCTGGAAGTCACCCAGCGGCCGCGTCAAACGAAACTGCGACCACGTCCGGACGATGCTCACCTCGCCGGTGACCGTTCGGGTGACCGTCGGTCCCACGGTGAGGTCCAAATGGGTCGTTTCTTGGAGTCAACGAAGAAGTGTCAAACGATTGAAGTCAAACTGACGATAGCTGGGCACCCTATCTTGACATCTTGACACTTTATCAATCAGTTCCAACTTCCAACTGCCAACTTATTTACTCTGCAAAACCTCTAAGTTCGCGGCCACGTATTCGCACTGCACCTGGAGCTTTGCTTGTGATACGTCGAAGTGCAGTACCCGAGAGGTGAGGAGCTTGATCAGGGTAAAGCTCATGACGGTCTTGCCATCCAGGAGCAACTGAAGGATACGCTGCCCCCTCCTGAGGTTCTGAACCAAAAAAACGACCAATGGAACCTGGAGAACAGTGAAGAATCTCAGAGTGATGTTTCACAAAAAGAGCTGGGGAGTTGGGGCACCAGGTTGAAATTCCGAGATACGCATGTGTTTGCATGGCCCATGATAGGTTGGTCTCTGCTGCGGATTTAATCTGCCTTCCGAGTAGCAAAGAAAACAGCAAGCCCTTTGAATGGAATGGTCACTAGAAGGCAAAACCGCAGTTGGCCCAAAGAACAAAAAGGTATCAGTGCGCTGATGGACAAGTCTATGGGCTGACGGACTAATGGCTGAGTGAGAGGCATGTTGACAGGTCAACAGAAAGCTATGGGCCGGCCAACATGATAGAACAACTTCAATAAGTTGTTGCTACGCCGGCTAGGCCGTTATTCTAAGGATTGTTCTCATCACGATTGTTGAAGCCAGACCCTCGGCGTGCGGGTTCTCGAGATCGAACCACACCCTCCAGGCTTAGAAGCCAAGTGCTTCTAAGTAACTCCCCACCTGATTCTCAGTTAATTAAAAAAGCATGCTTGGTGTCGTTAGACAGAGAGGTTTGGTTGGAACTCGGGATGCGGAGACAGAGGGTTCTGCCCCTTTTCAGATCTTCATTGAGAAGTAGGAGCAAATAATATGTAGATGACAACTGAAAAAAGGTGAAAAAATATGTTCATACCAGTGCCAGCTTCTCCAGACGACTGTCACCCTGAGGCGACTCTCGTTTGAGAATGGCTTCTACTTCATCAGTATCAGGTTCTCGATCTGGGACTAATCTCTCGTTGGGGCCCCCAGACTGCCGCTCAGCTACCTGAGCTCAAGTCCAAGTCCAGGAAGTTGGGGTTTGGGCTTGGGAGTTTGGGGAACACCAAACAGGGGGCGTTCTGCTTCCATGTTGTTGGCATGATGTACAGTAACAGGAGAATCATACAAAAGGATATGGTGGTATTTCTGCACATTTTGTTTCGCAGAGTCCTGCACTGGGATGATAGCATCACCACTACTATACATTGCATGGACGAGCACCCAGTGATAGCCCAGGCACCAAAGTGTATGCCCAAGCATCCATCTTGCTTCCATCAAAGCACGTCACTTCGCCGCGCCAGAGTACTTTTTTCTGCAGCATGGCAACTGCAAAAGGCACCTGCAACAACATGGCAAATGCAACAAATGCGCTCCATAGTGAACATCCTGATGGCTCAGGTGATGCTTTTCAGTGTCTTCGTCGAACCCGGAACCGCAAGATTGCCTGGATGCTTCAGATTGAGGTGACTTTGAGCCACCCCTGATTTGTGTTCATGATGTTATCTGTTCATGACTCCAGTTCATGTTGTATGTTCTGCATTGCTCCGTGTCGCGTTTGTCCAAAGCAATGTGGACATGCTTGTAGCTCTACCATGTCAACACTTGCTAGGCTGCTCGTCTTTCATGAGGTCATGCAGGTGCTTTGCTCTTTGGGAACATCCAGGTCCAAGTCATGTTGGGAACACGGGGAAAACCGGTAAACCAAGTCAACCTAAGCGGAGCAAGGACGCTACTAGGGGCTCCTGGCCATACTACTAGGAGCAAGAAGCTACTAGTAACAAAGGGCATCGCTACTAGGAGCAAGGACGCTATTAGGGGCAAGTCAACCGTGCGCCTCAAGAGGCGGAACAAGACTTCAGCCCCCGAAGATTCACAGCTGAGCTGTATCACCAGAGGAACAAGGGCATCGCTACTAGTAGCTAGAAGCTATTAGTAAAAAGGGTTGCTACTGGTAGCTAGAAGCTATTAGTAAAAAGGGCAT